AAGGAAAAATGACGTCTCTCCGTCATTGGATTGAGACCCCGCCAAGTTCCAGGCTAGGTCCGTTGGCGCATTCGTTTTGGCGGTTCAAGTAAAATAACTCTCTATAGAGTAGTAAGATGGGCTCTTCTCCAAGATATACCTCACTGAACACTTGAAAATTGCAAATATTAGACACGGAATTGGGTCCGATGTCTTGAGGACGAAGGTCAAAAAAGTGCAGGACGTCTCTGAAGAATTTTGAACCGGGTGGTGAAAAACCTTGGTTCATATGGTCAGTGAAGACGATGACCTCCCCCTCTTTGGGCTGAGGCTTTTCCTCCGTCGGGCCAGGAGCACGATATGACATAACTTCCTTCTTCAATAGATAGCCGGTCTTCACAAAGCCATCAAGCGTACTGTCTACGACGATGGATTTGACCCAATTGCATGAAGTGGGTTGTTTGGGCGGCATTGTGATAGAAGCCTAAGAAAGAGTACAATTTCCGGTCCAAATTTAAGCCGGAGAGAAACATTACAATGCATATTCAAGATGGCGGCTTATAAAGGGGCCTAATGGTATATGGCTAATTATGTCAAGTTATTTAAGCCGCCATGAGCGCCATGAGTAGTCAAGTTATTTAAACCGCCATGAGTGGTTAAAATTATCAATTGAGCATTACAATTTTAAGCCGCCATCAATAAGAGTCACCATGGCTAGGTGGATCCAACAAAATAAAGTTTTTGCCTAAGTGTTACACAAACAAGTTTCACAGGCTGCAACTATTATTTCGGATCAATGACTGTTCAGGAAAAGAAAATATTCTAGACCTAAAAAGCTAGTACAGATGAGTTCGTGAGTCCTAATTAGGCCTCTTTATAGAAAAAGGGATCCGCTAGTATCAAAAATGGACGCAAAACAACTACCACATGATTTCTATATTTCTTTTGGATCAAAAGAGACTGCGGTGGAGGAACTACGAAGAAACCGTGATGAACAACGAAGAACACAGAGGAACTCGCAAACCCTAATGCGGATCTGAGGTGTGGAAAAGCAAAGACTTACAGCTGCAGATCTACTACGGAGGGTCGCCGCCGTTATCTGGATCGACTCAGGTTGATGCAGCGGTCGAGGTCGAGGAAGACGAGGTGCTCTGCGGCGGCGGCAGAGCTCGAGCGGCAGTAGGTTTGCGAGAGGAAGAAGATAAGGAAAGGGGAGAATGAGGAAAGACCTGGTCGTGTCTATTTATAAGGGAAAACTGATAAGTGGGCGCGAAAAACGAGGAGGCCGAAAATATGGTTATCCAGCTACTAGGACGCCTCGATTCTCGGGATGATCATTAAGATAAGGATCTGTTGAGATATGTTGGACAAAGTGTGAATTAAAGACAGATGGCGTCATGGCGGGTTACCACAAGTCCAGAAGATGACGTCATGGCGGGTTACAAAACTGCCGTACAAACAAAGAGCGGAAGATTTTTCCTAAGTATTGAAGATTGACATGAACCAGTTCAAATCAATCTGGGGCCTAATGTTGGGGATATAACTATTAGGTATGACCCGCCCAGGAGGGACCGGGTTATGCCTATGGCGATTCAAGATATGAAGTCCAAGATGACACTTGAAGATGGCGGTTCAGCTAAGGGCCCGAAGCCCAAAGGCGACTCAAGGCCCATAGAGATAAACCGCCATATGTATGTAACTTGTATTGTAAGGCAGGAATAGACAGAGACCGAGCCGGACACTGTCTATGAGCCGACCGGGACTCTGAGAGCTATTGGGCGTCGACCTCTGTGTATAAAGGGACGACCTGGCGGCGGTTCAGGACAAGGAACATCAGATCGAGAACTAGGTCAAGCGGATTCGCTTCCTGGTAATCGAGACATAAGCAATCCCACTCAAAACTGGATCGTAGGATTTTACCTTCACCGTAAGGGGCCGAACCAGTATAAACCCCGTGTCCTTTGTCCCGATTAACCCCTTTAAGCTTCCTAGTTGCGATGGCTCCATGACTAAGTCCTTTCACAAGGACATCTGACATGAAAATTCCACGACAGGGTGTCAAAGGTGAAAGATAAGAAGTGGGGAAGATGGAGGGTGTTGCAGCACAAAAAATGTGGCTTATGTAGCTCCTATAGGTGGCGTGATTGCTTCTTGGGGAGACCAGGGACATGGATACAACACCACTATTAGAGAAGGACATGCACCACAAAAGAGATCCTCCAATGACGCATTTTCTGAGAATGAGGACAATGAAAACACTGCATCCAACCACCTTAAACCAGATGGAGAGGAACAATTGGGCAAGGAAAGGGAGTGCAACACACATGAACCTTGATTTGACCCTAGTTGCAGCAGTTGGAAAATGACGGAGAAAGGGTGGATCCCAGTAATATTCCGCTGCCACCTACACAGTGCATATCACCGAGGGATTTGAAGAGACTGAAAAAGAACTAGTCATCGAACAAGAATAATAGTCTGGCTTTATCGGTGACCTTCCTCGAGAATCATTGCTGAAACTAGTGAATCTTCTAGAATGGAACTATCATAGTCCGGGGCAACATCGCTATAGCCCGAGTGTTTCGTGAATCACGAGGAAATTTGTCCTGTAGGTCAACCCCGACTCATGGCGATAAGTAGTTTTGTTGTTAAGACTCAAATAAGTAAGGATAGAGTAGAAGCTATCCTTAGATTATGATTGTAGTTTTATTGTTGGCAGCTACGGTAGGAGTGGAGGCCTTGGTTTGTTCTGGAACAAGGAAATGAAACTAGAGGTTTCAAATTATTCACAATACCATATTGATGCTAAGATGGAGGGGGTGGGCCCTAATCTGTGGCGGGTGACTTTGATTTACCGTGAAGCTCAAGCTGCAGAACGAAACAAAAGATGGTAGTAATTAGTACCTATAAAATGCACAACAAATTTTGGAATCAGATAGAGAGAGAAGAAATCTCGTCCATTAAATGTGCAAAATATATATTACGCAAATACCAATAAAGATTAAAAGCAGTGCAAAATTGTGACGAGATGAGTGTGTTATATAACGGGCGAGAGGTAAAGGTGAACATATCCACAAAACCGTTAGGATGATTACAACTTCTGCATAGAACATCACATATAGGTGCATCAACATCCAATCTAGTTTTTTCTAGAATGACCCTCAAGGCATATTATTCATTCAGGTGGATCATGTCTGATTGCAAAATGTCAATCAAATAATCAAGGGTTACACTAAACATGGTAGCATCAGTCTCTATAGATAAAGCTTCCTTGCCACATCTAAAGGCTGCTCCATTAGATTCCCAACGAGTATATTGCAGGTCAAATCCCTAGAAATTCATGAGATACATGTGCATCTACCTAATGACGTGTCCTCCGACTAAACGATCATCCCTGATGCCACGCTTATGAGACCATCTAACAATCCGTATCAATCACAATCTGGTGCAGGTCATTCACCACTGCCAACATCATAACACCTCGGCATTTCAATGGTCAAGGGATCACACACAGCTAGATATTTGCTGCATTGTCCCATCTGAAACTGCCCACTATGATCCCGCACCATGACACACACTCCTTCACCGTGTCTATATCTCCACCAGTATTCATATTTAGTCATCCTTGATTAGGTACCTTCCAACCATGTCGATGTACCGGACACGGACCCCTAGGCACTAATGCTCAGGAATGTCCAGACTCTCATTGAGCTCCATAAGACCGTTGCAGCGACCTCCTTGGAAGTGTATTTATCACGGTTCGTCCCACATCAGGGAGATAATGATAGCAACTTGCTATTTCTTCATGAAATGATTATCCAAGATGTCCCTCAACCATGTCACATGGTGGAAACAAGGCATCTTTACATCGCGGAAAACTTACGTCGCCTGCTAAAATAATAATGCATGCTCGCATTGGACCGGAGCATGGTATATCGACCCCTCGTCACACGGGACACGCCGCATCATCTCTAATGTGTCTTCGCCGCATCTCCCCGCATGCCGGCACAAAGTTCATAAAGAACCCGCCACGAAAACCCGGAGCTTCAGCTGAACACGCATCCTCCACATCGTCTTCTAAAATCCCTCCCCGTGTGTCGAGCTGCTCGGCGTTGTACACCCCTTTTCGTTTGACGTCTTCATCTAATAAATAAACAATTCTATGAGCACACGCGCATAATTGATGGTGAAAATTTGACACATCAATCAAACATTCCAAATCCGATTGTATTTTTGGTTGGGCACAAGATAAGAGGAGGTGTCTCTACGTGGCCGGAGCAATCCGGACCGTGGCCGTTCAGGACGGACGGCCGGATCCGGCATCCGAGTCGTCATCGTCCCCAACCGGGGATACTATTGCAGTACAAGTACTACTCCCCTCCTCCCTTCCACGCAAAATCCTCCTCGCGTCACGCGTGAACCCAGCCGGATCCCCAAACCTCCTTCCGGCCCGACGCCGGCGCCGACGGGGGACCCCCTCCGCCTCTCACGCGCGCCGCCGCCTCCGCCGTCCCGTCCTCCCTCCCTCGCCGGGGCATCGCGTTCCACCCCGCCGGCGACCAGGTATGAGTCCGGCGATTCCCTTTGCTGTATCCCGCTAGGGGACCTGCCCACGACCCGCGGGCGTGCCGCCGCGCGCCCGGCGCACCGTCTAGATCGGGGGCGCGCGCGTGCTGCGGGTTCTCCTCTCCTCTGCCGCCGGCGGAGGAATTCGTTGGGTTCCAAGCTTTAATCTTTCCGGATCCGGCGAGCAGTTCGTCCCCCAGGATTTAGCAGATCTGAGGGGTAGCGAGGGGGGAAGGGGGAGGTGGCACGGCAGTACAGGAAACTGCAATTTACTCTTGTTTATAGACATCGATTCTCCTAGTTAAATCCCACTAGGGGACCTTCACAGCTTGTGTGGCACACCATCTAGATCCGTTCCTGGACTCATAGGCGTTGGCTTACATTTTTGCTCCGGCAGGAACACGGCACTCTGAAGCTCCTGAGCTAGCGTAGGAGGGGCAAAACCATCCAGCTGAAGAATGAAAACACATGAGCGTGCTGCCAACTTGGCTCTTGCTGGTACGCTTCTCAAAAATTCACGCTTTGGCGGTGGCCATTACCTATCGTTTGTCCGACCTGATAGGATGTTTGCCTGACTCGTGGTCCTAATGCGTGTTCCGGCATGTGCAGGTTTGAGCTTGGCACCGCTCGTGATCAATGTTAACCCAAATTTGAATGTGATACTGACAGCATGTCTTACTGTCTATGTGGGCTGTTACCGTTCCGTCAAGTCAACTCCACCCGCTGTGAGTGCAACATGTTCCCCTGTCTAATCTTTTCCGTGTTAATGTATCTCCTGGTTTGTCACTGCGGCGATAGGTTAACACGAAATTATTGTGTATCGCTCTGTCCAACTCAACCTTTTCATTTCTTCTTATGCAGGAGACAATGTCCAAAGAGCATGCTATGCGTTTCCCTTTGGTTGGGAGTGCTATGCTTTTGTCGCTATTCCTTCTGTTCAAGTTTCTCTCCAAGGACCTGGTCAATACTGTTCTCACTGCCTACTTTTTCATTCTTGGCATTGCTGCGCTCTGGTAATTCCAACTGTTCTTTGAAGAGATTTTGCATGGATGTAATAAATACTTAGAAGTGTGAATGCAAACTTGAGATTATGTGTGACCCCTATTTTCTGATGCAGTGCAACGTTGCTCCCTACTGTCAAACGTTTTCTTCCAGAAGGATGGAATGATAATGCCATTGTCTGGCGTGCTCCATATTTCCACTGTATGATTCCCACCTTCATTTTGATGCTTCCCACTTTGCTCTACATCTTGTAGCTCATGTCAAATTAACACATCATAATTTCTATTACTAGCCTGCTGTCTTGAGCCACTGTTTTGTTGTATCTCTAGTAACTCCAACTTGCCATGTACTTTATAATAGTATAAATGTGCTAGTAAGAGTCCATATATTACTTATGGAGTATCCTAACTAAATAAGATTTGAAGGAAATTCAGCACTCATGCTTTCCTTTTCTGGCAACATGATAGTTCTCATTTGCTCCATGGGACCATGTGTTGAATTTTGCACAAAGAATAAAGATAAATCAAAGAGTAAAATTATAGAAGATCCTGTTTTCTGTAAACAATTAAATGGCATGTACACACATTTTTGTGACAATGTTTTGTTTGATATGGGTCTCATTGTTTGCTAGATTTGCAATGCTTTTGCTGCGGCTGATCACTCTTCTTAGTTTGTTATTAGCTTCAACTTTGTTGACAATTGCAAAACGATTGCGACTTCTTGATCATTTTAGAATTTTTCATGCTACCCCCGTTTACAAGGTTGAGTCTTGATGGTGATGTAAGCTCATTAACTTAATATTTCAGCACTGTCGGTGGAGTTTACCAAGTCTCAAGTTGTCGCTTCAGTCCCTGGATTTTTCTTCTGCGTATGGTATGCCATGAAGAAGCATTGGCTAGCAAACAATGTTTTGGGACTTGCTTTCTGCATTCAGGTTTGCCCTTACTGCTACTTCTGAATTTTCCTCCCTGCTTATTACTTGCTCAAAACTTTAATACGTCAGTTTTAATCTTGCAGGGAATTGAGATGTTATCACTAGGATCATTCAAAACTGGTGGTATTCTCTTGGTATGGATTCACTCAAAGTTTGTAACGAACTGAAACTTAATATCACTATTTTCTGGTGGTGTCCTTGTGAACACCTTCATTATTTCAGCCACCCACATGTCTTCCTCCTTTTCACCTCTCTGCTTTCATAATCCTCACTTTGAAGCATGACAACTTTTCTTTTAATATAATCAATATTGTTTCTAGCAGCTCACCATATGCATGGTAGATAATGCTTTTGTCCTTGTTTTTATGATTTATTTGTAATATTGTAGAATCTAGTATAGACCTAAAGTCCTGGAAACAGCCTCTTACAGAAATGTAGGGAAAGGCTGCGTACTATAGACCTAAAGTGGTCGGACCCTTCCCTGGACCCTGCGCAAGCGGGAGCTACATGCACCAGGTTGCCCTTTATTGTAGAATCTAGTATCAATCGTGGACTACTTTTACTGTGATGGTATTATAAATGATCCTTCTCTGTTTTTACTCAACACTTCAGCAAATTGGTTCTGATTGGTGGTATCGTGTTGGCAAGTTCATGATTGCATTTTCACCACATAGTCTGTATTGTACTCATCCTCTGGCAGTTAGGATTGAACTGTGATCCTACTATCTCATGAATTGGATAATTTGGAACTATGACTTGTTTACTACTAGCTCTACAACTTTTGAAATTCTTGTTGGCGCATGGATTATAAAAATGCCAGTCCTAGTCAGTCTCTGCTGTAGTTTCACATATCCTCACTGAGCCCTTCCTTTTATTATTTCTTAATATTGTTTTGTGAATGGTTGCTCAATTCCTTTTATAATTTCAGGCTGGACTTTTTGTGTATGACATTTTCTGGGTTTTCTTCACTCCAGTTATGGTCAGTGTTGCTAAATCATTTGATGCTCCAATAAAGGTTAGTGTTTTGTTTGGGTGAATTCACATTATTGTCAACGCCATTTTGTTCCATGATGAGTATTTCAATTTATCCATCTATTCCTCTCCTTTTGTAGCTTCTATTTCCCACCGGGGATGCCGCACGCCCGTTCTCTATGCTTGGTCTTGGTGATATTGTTATACCTGGTTAGTGATAAAGGCTTTGGCTAGTTTTCTCTCATGTTCTAGTGATATTTGCAGTGATACTGGATTTCTTTTCTGATTTTCGAATTAATAGTACTAGCACAACTCTGATCTGACTATTGATCTATGGTGAACTGCTAGTCTAGCTGCCATTACAACTGGGTTGCTGTTGATATAAGGGGACTTAGCTGCGGAAAGAAACCTGTAGTTGCTTGTTTATTTAATGTATAGTCAGATATCATTGACTTACTAGATTTGGGTGGGAGATTCTATGGTTTTTTCGCTATCTCATTGCATGGACTCTTGGGCCATTACTAATAAAACAAATATATGCTCCAGTCCAGATATCAGGATTGTAGGTATCCAGTAGCTCCAGAAAGTTGTTATGATTTCGATAACTTCCAGTTGCACACAAAATGTATTTTCCAATCTGAGTTCTGCTGTCCATAAGGCGACATAAAAAATTAGCTTGGAACTGCGATGAATGCTGCTTGGTTTTTGTAGATCACAGGAACTAAATTGAATCAAAAGTTTTACATTGATTGCCTGGCAAACAATGCATCTCATTTCCCAAGGATGAGCTTGGTTGGTAAAAATATTTTGTTGTATTGATGCATTAGTCATTTTTGCTGTCTTCTGTGTTAACTGTTTAGTATATAACCAAAATTAGAAGAGCCTTTTTCAAAGAAGTTCTGCCCCATTCAATATTGGAAAACATGCATAGCTCCCATGTTTCCACAAGCACTATCTTATAACATACAATGTATATTTGTTATTATTATTCCAGGTATATTTGTTGCACTTGCACTCCGTTTCGATGTCTCAAGAAACATTAAGAACCGTTACTTCAATAGTGCATTTTTGGGATACACTGCGGGTATGACAGTAACAATAGTTGTGATGAACTGGTTTCAAGCTGCACAGGTTAGTTCTGTTACATTTCTAGTCATCTCATTGCTCGTGATGTCTGTCCATCTCTGAAATATTAACGCCTGTTTCTTTACCCCTTTTTTGTTTTTGTTTTTGATACGCAGCCTGCTCTGCTATACATCGTTCCTGGCGTGACTGGTTTTGTGGCTGTCCACTCTTTGTGGAATGGTGAAGTAAAGCCGGTAAGACCTCTGACCCGCTTCCAACCTCGTCTTGGGTAATTCACCTAAGAAAATATGTAATTCTGCAGAACTGTACCTTTTCAAATCTGCCACACGCTAAAGGATTCTTTGTTTGTACTCTCGAAAAAAAGGATTCTTTGTAAACCAATACCAGTTACTTGTTTCTTCCTTCGCTGTGCTTAAGATATTGCCATGTAACTCTTGTTTCATCTCATATAGTATCGTACCTATAAATCGCTTGCTGTAAAAAATGCAAGCCTTATTTCTGACCATTGTACATTGCAGCTACTGGAGTTCACCGAGACGCAGCCTGAAGAGGAGGGAGCCGCCGAGGAAGAAGATGAAGATTCCAGTCAGAGCAAAAAGGTGGACTAGCGCTCGCTCTGGGTGGGCCTTTTTAATTAATTAGGAGAGGAGAACCAAACCAAAGCATGATTTCAAATAGGCTGTATGATCTCGAGAATCGAAGAACGATTCACATGGTAGAACTCTTTTTGTTTCGAAAGGTCATTAACTATTTGTTTTGGTGAGTGGTAGAAGATGGAACAACATGGAAACATATGCTAAGAGACTTACAACATAATTCAATCAGTGACATGACTATATATACCTGCTGCCGCCCAACCTTTGCCCCTTGGTTCATTAACTACTACTAGTAGTTGACTCAGTTCATGATGGCTGTTATACCCCAAAATTGACTCAGTTCATGATGGTATACTATCTCATCTTTGTTCAATCTATTGGCCAGCGCACCAATCGCTCTATGATTGTATAATGCATGCTACTCCCTCCGTAAAGGAATATGAGGGCATTTTGATCACTACTTTAGTGACCTAAATGCTCTCGTATTCCTTTACGGAGGGAGTACTTCGTAAAACCTTTACTAACAATAGGTCCTTTAGGGCATCTCTAAACCTAGCCCTGTCCTTCACAAGACCTCCTTTCTTTTTTTGTTGAGAAAATTAAGTTCACGCTGGCTAGCAAATGTAGATCACGCTGGCTAGCAAATTAAGTTCGTTTACAAAACTTTCTCACCATTTTCCCATTTCTGGCGTCTCTGATGAGTGATTACTGACACGCAAACATAATCAGTGAGGAGAGGCAGCTTGTTTACTCGATCAGTTCACCATAGATGGAAAAGAAACCGTATCCTACTACATGTAGAACGCATTGACGAGGTTGAGAATACTCAACCGAGAGGACTCATGCACCTGGTGCTCCGGTGGAACATGAGCCCTTGGATTAAAAAGAGAGGGACAAGATGCGGTGCAAGGGGGGCTACTGGTACATTTTGCAAAACTGACCTTCGAGTCTAGCTAAATCGAGCGAATCGACCTCACAAACCCAGTCCGTCTATCCCCTTTTCCTCTGTCCCTGTACGACTGCTCCAGGTTGCCGGCTGAGCTACTGGAAAAATCCCTCTCTCCCCGTCCCTCTCCTGCTTCTGGCGTTGAAACACGAGTGCCCAAGATCGAAATCATGATGTCCGGCGGCGGCTCGCTGTCATTTGCGTCTCTATGCCGACGCGGGGCTGTAGCTTTGTGGATATGAGGAGAGAGAGGGCCAAATTAGAATCTCTTAAGTGCAGTGTTTTAGATTCCGCACAACTAAAGCACGCAGTCAATAAGTCAAAGCTACTTGGGCGTATGATCTGCTTGACAAATCTTAGGCCCCCCTGAAGATGTGACGGTTGCTTATTTGGCTGACAAATCAAAACGCTATGATACTATGCCAAATGCCGTCAGTTAGGCTGCTTTTGCCTGTCGAAATGGGTGTTCTGCTTTGCCGGGAGATTCAACATTATGCTGTCTGATTGCCTAGGGCTGGTAAATCCGGTTGAAGACGTAGACGACCGAATAGGGCTCCAAATCTTCAGGTTCTTGTGCAACTTCAGAAGCTAAGTAGTGTGCAATTATCTTTGTAAAACGAGAAGCCAATATGGCAGCTCACAAGACTGCTAATTTTACCTCTCGTGCTAGTCCAGATCATGTCCGGTTGTTTCAGGCTCTGGTTTTTGTGGCACCATGTATTCAGCAAGACTTCAAACGTGCTACAAAAATAGTATGCGACTTCTTTTAGCTCAGATGGGCAGTTGTTGTACAATTTTACATGCATGCTTGTTTTGTTCCAATATGAACGAAATGATGTTCTGCCATGGAATCAACTAAAGAAAATGTGTCAAGAGATCTTCGGTTCAGCTACAAAATAACAGCACCACAACTACTTATAAAGTTGTTTTTCTAATACTCACTCCGTCCGAAAATACTTGTCATCAAAATGGATAAAAAAAGATGTATCTAGAACTAAAATACGTCTAGATACACCCCCTTTTATCCATTTTGAAGACAAGTATTTCCGGACGGAGGGAGTACTTAATAGTACAGAGTTATATCCTGGTCAATTTGTTTTACAGAGTTATAACTTTTGATCTTTCCAACTGACTGAAGAATAAATTACATGAAAATTCTGCATTTTTTCCAAAGACAAAAATGAGTAATCAGGAAACAGATACATAAGCTGATACAAGAGCACAACTTCGATTTTCTCAGGAACAATGCATGGTTTAAAACAGAAGCTCGGTCAGATAGATGAACCGTATAAATGAAGAGGACACATGCCTTCATATGCAGTCTAACATATCTTCTTCATTTACAGCAGAGTAAGACTGCTACTTGAAAAGCAGAATCTACAGATATTCATACAGCTCAAACTTTACATATTCTATTGCAATGTCCATTTGAGATTTCTTGAAATTCAGGCATGAGTAATGTCAGAGTTTTAATCACTTCAATGCTGCAGACCGTCATCCAGTTATAAATTTGCCTGAAAATAAGACAAACATCATTGCAGGTTGTAAGTTATCATCACTCTCGGGCTCATATGTTGACCCCTATGTATGCACAATAATAGCGATTTAGTTCATGAACTGAAGCTCACACATTGGACATACTAATTCTTTTTAGCCTGTTGTAGCTATTTCCAACATTTTCGACCAACCGGATCGTGCCTTAACTATTTGAGAAAAAGAATCTAACAAGCGACAAAATCTACTCCCGTTGCCATAGTTGACCCGATGCTTAGAGCAGCACTTTCCATTGACTCCATGATTACCTATTTTCCTGCAAATATAATCACAAAAAATCACATTCAGGTTCAAAAGTAGAGAACTAACCTACTAATCCATAGTTGACCCAATGGAGTACAAAGCAGCACACATCCAGATTTTTACCTCAGAGAAAAGCAACAATGTGCATTGCAGAAAGACAAATGAGGAACATTAACAATCAATGCCATGAAAGTTCAATTGGACATTGTAAAGGCCCTTTCCATTTAATATAAGAAAATTTAAGTGGGTCACAAGAACATATAATACATTGCTAGTTCATGTCCAAGAAAATCACAGGAATATCGGTAGTAAACCTACTCTTGCCATGTATGGAGGCTCTCAGGTTTCCATTTTTCTCACATACATGTCAAATTGCTTCATATCATGGCAAGAGTACATGATATGAAAATTGTATACAAATGAAGGATCAGAACACATAGATCGCATCATCAATTTTCCACTATCTGCAGTAATTACTGGTAAGAATTTCACCATTATAACTGCATGTCTCGCATCGATTTGGTGCTCACGCTTTTCAATTTCCCAAATGCCAGTGGCTTCAAACAAATTGGGGGAACTGGCGAATTGGAAGATTAAAATATGACTGCACGTGGTTGACAAAAAATCAAATTCAGTGCTCATACCTCGGATCCTTGAGCTGTAGAAAGATGATGGGTGGCTCGTAAGCAGCTACAGCGCCGGGTCGCTATGTAGACGAAATCGCTGTGAGCCGCCGGTGGACCACATGATCTTGATCCAGGGCAGTCATGCGTCAACGGCGGAAGCCCTGGAGGGCTCAAGCCTGCTGCGATGGTACAGGATATGGCAAGGGGACGAACTGGGCTCGGGAAGGTCCATCCACTTGATTTAGATGTACTGCAAGGACTGTTTCGCAAATGTACCATCAGGTCCATGTGCTAACCGGATCATGTCCCTCAGTTTTGCATCGAACGAGCCATATATCACCGGTGCATCTGGTGCACGAGTTCGCTCGTTTCACCAGATACATTCTCCTCAACCGAGAGTGTAAGACATGCCTTGTTCCTCTTGTCCCTCCTCAGTTACTACCTCCATTCCTAAATATAAGACGTTTAGGTAGCCTATAAGAGAAACTCTAACCGTTTCCTTATTCAGCGCTAAGGGAGGATAAATTTGGTTACCCTCCCTTACGCCGCACCTATTCGATCCCCTAAACCTCATAAGGGAG